CCCCAAAACCCCAAAACCCCAAAACCCCAAAACCCCTTTACTAAGCTCTCAGTTGAAATTAATAATAAATTATGGTTCTGGATTTCGAGACACGGAAATTCTCAAGATATATATTCTAGTAAGCAACTCTAGGAACACAACTTATCTCATATAGTAGCTTCATGCTGCTTAGCTGATGAATAAGTCACGCTCTCGCTAGAGGAGGCGGGAAGAAATAAAGGTAAATTTTTTGAGAAAACTATACACATTTTCATAAATATTCTCAAGGAAACTTCTGGTTCTAAGGAAGTTTCTTGCTGAGATTTAGCAATATTATTTTGGTCCTATAACACCGCTTATCTATACAGCATCTACTGGTGGAAATGGAAACTCGGTTGATAACACATATTGTCTCTATGTAGGGCTGGATTGCTCAGCAACTTGATGCATCCAACAAGCATGAGGTGAAACACTAGATGAATGAGAATTTGGATACGACCCTGACGAATACAGCCTCCTGTATATAGCCCTAGCCGTGATTGCCATTGTCATAGTAATACCTGTGGTTGTCGCATCGGTGGTCCCTTGCTGTATTAGGGCCTGTCTTTTCCTAAACCAGAAATGTTGTTGCAGGAGCAGGAGCAAAAATTCTAAAGAAATCACCGAAATAGGAAGTAGGAAAGGCAACACCACCACCCAATTCCCACTCAATAGCATCAACTCTGATGATAAGGAACTCGGCCCAATGAAGAACGAGAGGTTGGTTCGAAACCAGGACTCTTTTAGTTTGGACAATCTTGCTTTGGCTAGCTCAAACCGTTCGAAAGGCAAAGGTAATAAAGTACAACCCCATGAATCTGCCGTTTTAAATAAAGGCTATATTAATAACGATGCAGAGAACTCTGCAAGGGAAGTTGACAGCTACCTTGACGAAAAAGACTACATCGTTAGGTGGGACAAGCCCAAGAAGCTTCATGAAAAAGTTCATTTCTCAGGGTCCCTTGAGGATCTCTCTAGTCGAAATTATGATGATATCCATGCATCTGATAATATCAAAGAAAAGAAACGAAATAATTTACGAGAGACTGCAAATCCTAGTTTTGAAGATGAAGGAATTAGGATTGACGATGATATGAGTTTCACAAAGAAGGAAACCATTCTTCCCAGAGATGCCCCTTCGATGCTCATCAGTAGGGCCGAAGAGGAGAAATACATTCTAGATGATACTCAGTTAATTGATGAATTTGATGCCCAAAAGAATTTGAATTTTACTAATGACAGTCTTGATAACAAGCTATTAATGATGGAAGGAGCTCAACCACCAAAGAAGAAAACCATCCCTCCTAAGCCACGGAGGAACTCTATTGATAAAATTGGGAAAAGTAGGAGAACCGAAGCCAATGAAAAGTTAATCCTCGAAGAACTTGAAAGGTGGGAAGCTGAGAAGAAGAAGAGCCAGAAAAGACGTTAAGCCTTAAACTCTTCTTTGAAATGAGGAATTCGTATAACCAAGTATATTCCAGGCTATACCACATCATCATTGGGTAAGCCAATAAGCCTCCAGATGTCAGCCATATTTTCAATTATGAACTATTTTTTTGGGGTTTTGGGGTTTTGGGGTTTTGGGGTTTTGGGG